CAGTCATGAATGTGATAATATTGTAGTAATGCAATCGGATTAAACCTAGTTTTATGGTACATGAATTTATTCTAGTATGGAAATATATTCTTTTAAACCTAACTCCATTGTCACCATAATACCTCTCACATGTGACCACACTGTTTCTGAGAAATCAAGCTGGCCAGGTAATTTTTTTCTTTGTAACGGTCTCATTGAGAGTAAAATGAGCTGATTGGTCTCTTTAATCCCTTTTTAAATCCAACACCTGCGCCTCTGGACACTGAACACCTTGGTTACATCTAAAATGAGATGACCTAAGTCAACAAATCCAACACCTAAATGAATAAATGAATGAAGTACTGGCCTGTGGCCTGTGACCAATTTTTTCCCAACCAGTTTTATGTTTGATCTCAGGCTGTTAAACTTCACAAACTCACTCAAGTGCCATCTTGACGTTATATGTGCAGGTGGTTAGGGCGGCTGAAGAGGCTGCCTCTACGTTGGCTAGCTCCATTCACCCAGAGCAATGCATCAAAGTGCTGTGTCCCATCGTACAGACTGCAGACTATCCCATCAACCTGGCTGCTATTAAGATGCAGAGCAAAGTGGTTGAGCGCATTGCCAGGGAGTCGCTGCATCAGCTGCTGCCAGATATCATCCCTGGCCTCCTACAAGTGAGTATTGCACATTAGCAGCATTTTATGGTAAAAAATTCATCTCTCCACTTCTGTCACTTTGCAACTATATCATGGTCAGAGAGATATCTTAGAATGTCTGGGCAAGTAGTTACAAACATTGCATATATACCCAAACTTCATGTACCAGAATGAAGAATGAGAATTGAGATAGAGAAAGCTTTTCAGTGACTATGTTTTGTAGCCCATTTGTTAATTTGACTTTTATTCACCCCAGTGGACAAAATTGGGTCAGTATTAAGTATATTAGCAATGTCTGCATTGGGAAGATTGGGAGCATAGTCAACATGCCTTCTTTGTACTTTTGATGATGTGTGTGTGTGTGTGTGTATGAAGATGTTAATGCTAAAACCATCTATCTGTCTGCAGGGCTATGATAACACAGAGAGTAGTGTTCGCAAGGCCAGCGTGTTCTGTTTGGTGGCCATCTACTCTGTGATTGGTGAGGAGCTGAAGCCACACTTGGCCCAGCTCACGGGCAGCAAGGTATGTTCACGTGCACGCCAACTCAGAGTCCACCAAAAGGTTCACCCTGTTCAACCTGCTTATCACTCAGTCCTCTATTTATTTGTGCCCTCCTCTGCTTTTAGCTGGTCCAAGTTTTTTGTATTTGGTCTACTTTCATTGCACTTGGCTTTCACAGCACAGTCCATTAAAAAAAAAACTGGTACAGTAAGGTTTCATTTGTTAACATTAGTTAACTACATTAGTCAACATGTACAATACTTATACAGCATCTATTAATCTTAGTTAATGTTAAGTTCAGCATTTACTAATACATTATTACGATCAAAAGTTGTATCTGTTAGCATTAGTTAATGCACTGTGAACTAACAGGTACATGAACATTTTTATTAACTAGCATAAAGGATAATAAATGCTGTACAATTATATTGTTAGTTCTTAGTTCATGTTAGTTAATGCATCAACTAATGATGACAATTGAGACCTTGTAAAGTGTTAGCAAAAAACTAAAGGGATGAATTTCATTATTCAACTCTTTCAGGTCATATTTCACCCCAAAATCACATTTCTCAAAAAATAAAAAATCAGACCATTATAAATTCTTGCATTGTAATATATTTGTCAAGATAATTAAGCACAAATTCTACCTTTCTCATAGCTGTAATAGTGTTTGTTGTTGTTGTTGTTGTTCTTTTATTTAAATCAGCATACACTAAAATTAGTACAATTAAAGCTACCATAGTGTGTAAACATTTGAATTTAAATAAATCTTTATTAAATTATTAAACCATTCTTCTTCTTTTTTAAACTGAAAATTCAATTTTTTGTTTTTGTTTTACATTAATGATATTTGTGCTTAATTGCCTTAAATTTCATAAAGTTTATACTAATGACATTTTACTTAAAATACTGATATTGATACAGTGTAGTACTGAGTATTTTTTCTGTGAAATGGTCAATTTGTTGCATCATATTTTGTGAAATCACCTACATTGCCCTTAAGAGAAAACATTCAAATTTTTAGACACAATGCAGAAGTAAACATTAACCATGGCCTTCTAAGATAACATAACTAGAAAGTGCAAATACATGCTCTTATCTGCGAAACAAGTCAGAGGTCTGTATGAGTATTAGCATATGCTGTATTCAAATTCACCCTCTGGCTTTTATTTCCACAGATGAAGTTGCTAAATCTGTATATTAAGAGGGCCCAGACCACCAACAGCAACAGCAGCAGTTCTTCAGACATGTCGTCTCACAGCTAGCCGGATGTACTCTAATCAGTGCCCTACACGTGCATTTGGGAACATAGTTGTGCCTCCTCCAGAATCCTTTTTTTTTTAATTGCTTCATCACAGTCTTGCTGGATTTTCCCAGAGAGATATGTTGCTCACTGCAATCAGACTTTTCTTTTCATCCAGCTCCTGGAAACCTCTTAGTGTCTCATGCATCTTTCCATCTGTGAAACATTGAATGTAAATAGGTTCGGATCGAGAAAAATGCATGCCGGCTTTTTGATAGGGAACAGATCTTCCATGATTGGCATTGCTTCCATAATTGGAGCAAACAAGCTATCTTCAGCTTCTGAAGAGGTGATTCGTTAACTACATTTATTAGTAATAACTTATTCTTGTTTGCAAGTGGTGTTAAAGGTTTAATTGAGTTATTAGAATATTTTAAATGGACACAATTTGGGTTAACTAATACATCACTTGAATTTCAATTAATGCTAGTGGATCATTTGGCTGGCCGAGTGATAAATGTAAAGAAAAGAGAAAAATGTAAGTAATTTGTAGGTTTGGCTACAATGACAACCCAAAAAACAAAAAAAAACGTAGGATTAAAACATTCTTATATTCATTTTTATTTCATGGGACCGCAATACCACATCCCATAATGTTGAAAGTGTAGGAAATTGTTTGTTTCCAAGTCTTTAAGAAGGCTAATGTAAAGCAATTGTGTTGATTTTATTATAGGATGGATTATGTGTTAAAAATGTGGGCCACACTACAGAATACAAGGACAAACTTCTGAATGTAGAGCTATTCCTTTCATCTTTGGGGAAAAAAGCGAAGGGTTTTGTGAGTAAACATGCAAGCCACAACACACTTGGACATTTAAAAGTTCACACTCAGTGGAGCTGAAAACATGACCAGGGGCATCTTCAGACAAGAAACGAATGAAATCAAACCGATTTACACTTTGTTCTTGTAGCAAGAGGATTGTGATGGAAATTTCAAAACTACTATGCCTTACGTTCCTTTTTCTGTTTTCAAAACTCAGACTGTTAAATACATGTCCACAGGCATTCGTACTACACTGCTAAAGCATGTCTACGACGCTAATAATGAAAACCCTCTAATCTGGCTCAAGAACTAGAGGTGATGTGATGTTCTCTGAAAGGTCTGAACTCTTTCTTTTTCCTTGTTCATCTGGAGATTTTTTCCATCTGATGTTAAGTGCTGAACGTTTATAAAAATGGTGTTGCACTCTTTTGCACGTTATCAAATAGCCTGCATGTTTTGATGACGTAACCATCCTGTGCTGCCGTGACTGACCTAGGGTTGGCTGTTTGTGCCACATCAGCGGTCTGGTCGGTCTGTAAATACAGTATTATTATTGTTATTATTAATATGTTGCCCAGGTGGGGAAGTAGACAAGTGCAAAGCTCAAATGGGTCTCACAGATTTGACCAAAATGTCTGTTTGTCCTCAGGCTGTGAACCAGACCATATTAGAAATTAAGGACAGACATTTGAAAGCACCCTACTTTCCTTAAGTATTATATACTGGGGCATGTGGCTTTTATTGGTATGCTAAGTGTGCGTACCCTTGTTTGATGCAGCATAAAAATAATCTGTTCATGAAAGAACAAATTCAACCGTGAGGATCAACAATGCAAGTATTAAGTTAAACGTGTCCCCTTGGTTTTCCTCAAATGTTGACCTCTAATGGTATTCCATCAAATTGTTCACTACGCATGTTAGACTTTTTTGTTATTGGACACAGATACGCTATTGTATTTATAAATTTGTTTTTATTTCCTGTCCCAATGTACAGGTTTTTTTTTTTTCTTCTCAAAGGCTTGTGATAGATTTACACCAACCTAAGTCTGGCCTAGAATTAAAACAACCAGAAACATGAATTTATTGTGATGATTATTTTAAACTAAAATGTGTCAGGGTTTTGAATGTGCTGTCAACAACTCTGGTATTTATCACAATTCATGCACCAGTACATTTATAAACTAAGTCATATGTGATAATGTGTATTCAGTCCTAGTTAGTCCAGTGCCACAAATGTCCAGTGCTGAAGAACTGACCAGGTTATACATCACCGCAAAATCAAAACATGAAGTTATATATATAATTCTAAATATTTTTTTATTTTGCATTGTGAATTTATTTTTATGACGGCAAATTGTGCTAAATTACATTTTCCTCAAACATTCAATGTGGAAAAAAATATAATTTTATGGAAAACAATAATGAGTCATCCTGTCTGGACACAAAGATTTATTTAATCAAAATCATCATAATCAACTACTATCAAATACAACACAAAAACGCAAAAAAGGCAAGCACAATAGTTTTTTTGTTTTTTTTAAGGTGTATTTTTATTTATGCAAAATAGATTTTGACTTATATGTATGCCTTTTTGTTTTACTTTATTTTTGGGTGAAATATAATCTGGACATTCTTGAGTTTTTGTGAGATTCACCAAAATATTTAAGTTTGTTTTAGTATCGCCCTCTTTGTCAATGATGTCAAGGCTTTCCATCAACACAGATGTGAAAATGTAGAAGACGCGCACACGCACAATTCTGCACGCAAAGTATGATTTATCAGATACTTCTTACTGACCTTTGATGTCAGAGTCAGCCTGTGCCAAAACAACACCGTGTCAGTTTTACTGACTGCGTCTGTTATTAAACGAGCGGTCCAGCAGAGTCCGTCAGAGCGTCGGTGCAGGTGACCGAGAGGATGCAGGCAGAGTGACGGACACTCACAGCTCACCTGACTGCCGTCACGCGGGCATAAAAGACTGCAGACACGTTGGGCTCAGAAAAGCCTTTGTGGCCCTCACGGTTCCTTCACCAGCGACCACGTGCTTGGCTACTCACATTTTTTTGGATAAGAACGTCATCGAACTGGAGAGTATGCTGTTTTGGCACAGCCATCCTGAAACCTACCAACAGCACGCGCAAAATAATTATATAAGGTAAGTTCAGTCACGCGAGTTAAATAGACTGAGCTTTTTAGACAGTCGTCTTACATTTTATTTATTTTACTTTTTTTAATGGTAAATAATTATTTAACATTACTTAATTTCTAACAAATAACCGTTTTTAAAAAATACCTGAATACTTTTTTAATAAAAATAAAATACATCCTGTATATAGATAAAGGAAAGGTACGATACCTTGGGTGACTAATTTATTAAGCAAGAATCAAGTCAATAATCAGCCAGTAGAATGTTTGTTTTCTGAAAAGCCACATCAAGGTAAATCTCGTCACTTTTTTTTTTTTTAATTGCAGTTTTTAAATCTCGTCGCTCATCTGCAATGATTCTTGAGTGCAAAGTTACAAATATACCCCAGCGACTTAAAACTGGTTTTGTGGTCCAGGGTCACATTTACGTTTAATTCTGAATGAATCTTTTTCTGCTTTTTGTGAATGTATTGAGTATATATTGATACTTGGATATATACCAAAGCAAATTCTGAAATATCATATTCTTGCATTATTGTGCGTCTCCAACGTACTTCAAAATGTGCCATTGTCACTTGGCATGACGTTTTCTGCTTCTCTTGTTCTCTCTCAGAGATGCTCTTGCTCCGTTTCTCAAGCATGAAGAGGAGCAGCAGTCCACTGAGATCGGAGAGTCTCCTTTTCATCATGTGCTTTGTGCAGCCACATCTCCAGCTGTGAAACTCCAGGACGAAACACTCACATATCTAAATCAAGGTAATGTTAAATGACTAACCTTATTGTGCTTGTTTAACTTAAGTCAGCATTTAATGTTGCATTCAAAGCACTACGATTTATGAGAATAACTTTTTTCTTGTACATATCAGTCTGTACTTTTGTCTTCATGGTGTAACCAAAAGTTGTTTATGTCTGAAGTCCATGACTATATTAAAACCAACAACACACTACATAAAGAGTGAACCTAAGAAAACTTTCAAGAAAATCACAATAAACACTCTTTGCTGTAAATGTGATTTTTAACTTTTTATTTTGAGGGTTATAAATCATTTTGTTCCTATACATTAATTCAGTTCTGTGTTTGTTTTTTTGTTTACATTATAATAATATAAATAATTTGTGCATTGGCAGTAAAACCAACATTACAAAATGTACTGTCAATGTGTTTAAACAGTCATACAATGCGAGACTGGAAGCGTATGTTTCTCACTGGCATTTTATCTGATTAGTTGCCTTTTCATTTTAATCTGTCTTGTTTTAATGCACTATAGGTCAGTCCTATGAAATCCGTATGCTTAACAGGAAACTAGTGGAGTATACAGATATAAGCAGTAAATGTATAAAGGTAGGTTAAAGGAATTATGTTATTTCCACTATGTAACCTTGTTTCAGTGTTCATCACCTTTCTATACAATAGAAATATTATTACTGCTAAATAGTAGTAGTTTTTAAATAGTAGACATAGGGTTTTTTCTGTTTAAACCCCAAAAAATGTAAAACATTGTGGTACAGTATTTATGGAATTAGTGATAATGCTAAGTTTTGTACAGATGGCCAGATGTTCTTATACTGAAGTACAAGATGATCTTTGAAATATTCTCCCATCATTTTCAAAATTTTCAAAAACTGATGGTAAATTGTTAGGTTGTTATCCAACAAGAGGCCTATTCAAGGTTTGTTTGTTTGTTAGTGAGCATCGATATAAAAATACAAAATGTAAATATTCTGGATTATAGCAATATTGTTAATATACAAATAAAAAAAATATTATAAATGACAATATACAGCTACAAATACACCATAGTCAATGGGACAGAAAAATATGCAACATACCAACTTAAAAATGTAATGCAGTCAATACACTTGTATGTGAAAGTTCATAGTTGACACTTGTGGTAACATAATTGTAAACATTTGTGGCATCATTAAAGTAAACATTGAAGTCTTAAATGTGAGCTGTGTTATGAAATACTGAAGAGAATGCAAGAAAATACTACTTGGTTTTAGTCATGGGGATATGTGTGATGCTCTCTTGACATCAGACTGTTCTATGCTGTTTTCAGAGTATTGTGCGTGTAGTTTTCCATGACCGGCGGCTGCAGTACACAGAGCATCAGCAGCTGGAGGGATGGAGGTGGAACCGACCAGGAGACAGAATCTTGGATATAGGTGGGACCTGCTTTCCTAATAAAGCACGTTTCTAAAGGACCATCTTGCCAACATTTGTTTTCAAATCACATTATGGCAAACACTCATATGTCATATGATTTACAATGTCCAATTTGGTATGCTCAGATATCCCCTTGTCGGTGGGCATAATGGAGCCTCGAGCCCACCCACTGCAGCTCAACACCATAGAGTTTCTCTGGGATCCTGACAAAAATGCCTCCGTGTTCATTCAGGTGCACGTTTTCTCTCTCCCTGACCTCCATACTAGTTTTCTAAACTGTGTAACACCGGTGGTAACTTTTCTGTTTCTTTATATCCAGGTAAACTGCATTAGCACTGAGTTCACTCCTAGAAAACACGGTGGAGAGAAGGGTGTCCCCTTCCGCATTCAGATAGACACCTTCTCAGCCGGCGAGCACGGAGAATACACTGAACACATGCTCTCTGCCAGCTGCCAGGTCAAAGTCTTCAAGGTAGAGCATCTTTTAGGGATCTTATCTATGCACAATCAGCTTGTAACACTCCAAAGAGAAAGGAAAACTTGAAATCGCATCATATGACCCCTTTAAAAGATAACCGATACACAATGAAAATGTGTGAAATAACTTTATTTATTTATTTTGATGTTACTTTACTCACCCTCACGTCATGGCCTGCATGCATTTTTTCTTCTGTGGAACACAAAAGAAGATATTTTGAAGAATGTTGGGGACCAAACAACATTGGCCCCATTGACTTTCATTTTTATGGACAACAAAAAAAAACACAGAGGCATTTCTCAAAATACCTTCTTTTATGTTCCACAGAAAAAAGAAGGTCATACAGTTTTGTAACAAAATGAGGGTGAGTAAATGATTACAGAATTGTCATTTTTGGGTGAACTATCCCTATGATTTTTTTCTCTCTCCTTAAGCCGAAAGGCGCAGATCGCAAACTCAAGACTGACAGAGAGAAGATTGAGAAAAAGAGTCCACAGGATAGAGAAAAATATCAACCATCCTATAAAACGACAGTGCTGACTGAGGTGAGACATCTGCCTTGGTAGCATTTGAGCTTGTTTGTGTCATCAGACATCATAATGTCATTTCATACAGCTGTATTGTTGCCTTCCATAAAACAGAATGTCTGAGAATATCCTCTTTCCATGCAAATAAATTATATCTTGATTTGTACAGCTCTAAAAATAACAAAAAAGCACCATGCAGTACACTCCATAAATTTTCATTTTCATGCAAAGTATTTTTTTTTAATACTGATAATCTTCAGTATGTAATTTTGTATTTCAAGTAAGACCGAAAACAATACAGTATCAGAACAGTAAGTAAATGATGACAATTTTCACTTTTAGCTGAAGTATCTGTCCATATGTTAATGATTGCGATCTTTCAAGCTAGCGGTCTACATCAAACATCTATAACTACTGAATTTTCCATGTCTCCTGTGAGTGCCTCTTTACTTTGACTGGCCATAGTGAAATATTAAGCTCTCTCCCACAAGTAAGATGTGAATAGAATTCGCATGATTGCTTGTTGGACCGAAGAAGCCCATATTGAGAATAAGGTCAAGAGGTGGGGCCAAAACAGCCACCTAACATAGGTAAACTATTTCTTTTTCTTTCAGTGCTCCCCTTGGCCTGAAGCCCCATCAGTCAGCAGAACAAGCAACACTCCATCTCCTGGCTATCACATTGCTCACACTTCTTACAGCTTCCCAGAGGAGTGAGTCTTTATTCAGTAGGAAATCACACCATGAATACATAAACGTAACTAGCAACTGCTCTCCTGTCTTACTGCGTTTATAGAAACTGCTCTCCAGACCAGCAGGGGGAGCTACATTTGCCCAGCTGTTCTGATGTAAGTATAGCGGGCAGGTTAAAAATATTAATGTCATGCTCTCTTATCTTTATAGGTTTGTATTTGAGGACATGGTGATGCTATTCTTCTTCTTTTTGCCATGTAGCACCTGTTGCCATCGTCCTCCATGCAGGACACGCAGCACTGGCTCCATGGTAATAGGTTCTCCTCTTTCTGCAGGCTCTTCTCTGGCTTCTCAGGTGGGCTGAAATATTCAGTGAGAATTACAGCTATTGACTTGGTTACAAATTCTAGCGAACTGCCTACTAAGGCACCATGTTTTTTTATTTTTATTTTTTTTATTTAGTAGTTTAGAGTTAACATGTTGCTAAATTAAGAACTTGTGATACACAGATAAGCATAAAATGCACTGAGCACACAAATATTGGGTAAACAGCCGATTTTGAATTGAATTTTGTCTATTTTTTTTAAAGTATCTAATAGATAAAAAGTATACACTACCATTCGTAAGTTTGGGGTAACAGTGTTCTTTTATACTTATAGAATCAGGGGAAAAAATGATATCACAGATATCAGAAAAATATCACAGTTTCCACAAAAATATTAAGCAGTACAACCGTCTTCAACATTAATAATAATAAGAAATTATTCTTGAGCACCAAATCATGTGGCACTGGATCATGTGACACTGAAGACTGGAGTAGTGGCTGCTGAAGATTCATCATTAAATTATTTTAAAATGTAATTGCTGCTTTAAATATTTCACGATATTACTGCTTTTACTGTATTTTGATGTAATAAATGCAGCCTTGGTGAGCATTAGAGACTTTATTCAAGAACATTTACAAAGTAAATGTTCCCAACCCCAAACTTTTGAATAGTGGTTTTATAATCAACATTTCTCTCACTTCACCCACAGTAATAACATACTACGTGTTGAAACTGTGCCATTGTGTTCTACTAGAAATTACTAGAAATGTCACCATTTTAAATATTATACTACTATTTGAGCTGCTTTGTTAATGTTTTAGGTTCTGATCTGCTAAAAATGAGTAGAGAAGATTTCATTCAGATCTGTGGTCCTGCTGACGGCATCCGTCTTTTCAATGCAATCAAGGGAAGGTGAGCTGTATATTTGTTCAAACACTTGCTATTCATCCTAAAATGTGTCCAAACATGTACCCTAACATGTCTGTGTCAATGTTACCCAGGTGTATACAACCTCGTCTCACTGTCTATGTATCCCAGCTACAGAACAGGAACCAACTGCACACCAAAGCAGCGGGTGAGGATGGTAGGAGACGTCACAGCATCCTTTATGATAGTTGTGACATGCAAAACAAGTGTTACTTCTATTCTTAATTCTCTAATTGTTTTTGTCTGTAGTGTACCATGCTCTCTACCTAGAGGACCTAACTGTCCTTGAGCTCACTGAGAAGATAGCCAATCTATATAATGCTCCCTCACAGCAAATCCGTCACGTATACAGACAGGGGCCGACAGGGATCCACGTCTTGGTTTCAGATGAGGTAAGAGGGCAGAGAGTGCTTAAAATTGAGTCCGAACATTCCAGAGATTACAGATCATTTGGGAAATGTTGGTTATATAACTTGTCCAAGGAGTAGTTCATCCAAAAGTTTGGGGTTGGTAAGATTTTTTTTCTATTCTATTGAAAGGAGTCTCTAATGTTCAACAAGGTTGCATTTATTTGATCACAAATACAGTAAAAACAGTAATATTGTGAAATATTATTTTAAATAACTTTTTTCTATTTTAATATATTTAATATATATTCATATATTAAAGTGTAATTTAATCCTGTGATGGAAAACTGATTTTTTTTTTGCAGCCATTACTCCAGTTTTCAGTGTTACATGATATTTCAGAAATTTATTCTGATATGCTGATTGGCTGCTCAAGAAACATTTTATTATTATCAACATTGAAAACAGTTGAGCTGCTTAATATTTTTGTGGAAACTGTGATAGTTTTTTTCGGGATTCTTTGATGAATAGAAATGTCTTTACTGTCACTTTTGACCAATTCAGTGCTTGATTGCTGAATAAAAGTATTAATTTCTTACAAAGAAGAGGAAAAGAAATTTTATTGACCCCAAGGGTAGTGTACATTTCTATATCAGGAGTATATTTTGTATGTATATTTTTTACATTTATGTTTATCATTAGTTTACGGAGCTCCACAAATGACATGCGGACAAAAATATATTTATTGTGGCCACAAATGAAGAACTCATTCCCTCATTTTATTAATTTGTTCCGTCATTTTAGGTCACAAATTAAGGATTTGTTCCAATGACTTATTAAAGGGGTCATATGATGCTATTTTAAAGATCATTATTTTGTGTATTTGGTGTAACAGAATATGTTGACATGCTTTAATGTTCAAAAAACACATTATTTTTCAAATACTGTACATTATTGTAGGTCCTATATGCCCCGCCTCTCTCAAACGCTTCGTTTTCTACAAAGCCCCCTCCTTTGACAAGCGCAGCCTGCTCTGATTGGCCAGCTGACCCAATGCATTGTGATTGGCCAAACACCGCAAGCACTCATCGGAAATGTAACACCCCTTACCATAATCGCGAGCTTCATCTTTCAAAATAAATGTAAAGACAGAGCAATGTCTTTACTCTGGGGAACAGAGTCGCGTGACAGACACAGTGATGAAGCTGGTATGTGTTTGCAGTACACAAGCCACGGTTAAGACAGCTGAATCCACTGTGATGTGACCCTGTCTCTCCTCTCTCTCTCTCTCTCTCTCGCGCGCACGATCAACGATTTAACAGACTTTAATTGCAGTGTTCTTAATCTTTATAAGTTAGTAGTACTGTTCGGGTTTACAGTGTGGGGGCGTGTTAGAACGAGCCGTTTTAGGCAGGCGTGGTTGACTCTTAACTTTTATAAAGAATATATCTTTGGATTTGAGACTTTAGTCTTTGCAACTTTACAGATCTTCTTTATGCACCAAGAGCTTGTAACACTCCAAAGAGAAAGGAAAACTTGAAATCGCATCATATGACCCCTTTAATACATTCCCTCATTTTATTAAATTGTGGCCAGTAGTTTGTTACCTTGGTTTGATTTAATTAAAACAAGGGAGTGTATTTGTACAACGTTGCCACCATTTAATTAAAATGAGGGAACAAATTAATATGTTGTGGGAACTAATTCTTAGTTTGTGGCCATGATATATATTTTTTCCCACGTCAGGTGCGGGGCTGCATATTAGTTTACCCAAAAATAAAAAGTTCTGTTTTTTTTGTAAAACACAAAAAGTGTTTAGTATAATGTTGACACTGCTCTCTTCCATACAGTAAAGTGAATCATGACATAAACTCTAAAAATAGACAAAAAGCATGATAGGCTTGGTCTTTAGCAACACTCTTTTCCTTAAATTCATAACTGAAATCAGTTACTGATTGTTCAAATGGATCAGAGTGCCAGGAAATACAGTAACCCAAGCATACACTGTTAAAACAATCAGTAAATTGTGTTACAATGCATTTAGGTCACTCTACATGTATTTGGTTTTTTTCAGATGGTGCAGAACTTTACAGAGGAGTCTAGCTTCATTATCAGCACTATGAAAGGTAACTTCATGGACACTGATTGGGCCTCATGTTTATCCAGCTGGAGTTATGTGGTGAAAATTGCCATTGCACATGCACAAAAGAACAGTGTTGAGGGCTAAATATTTGCTGACTTTACATTAAATGCAAACACTTTGATAAGCACAAGTTCTATATAATGCATACAGCATCTGGTTGTGCCACACTTGTGACCTTCATGGCTCACTGAGCAGGCTACTGTTAAAAAGTCCTCAGAATGGAATGTCTTTGTGAAAAACAAGTTACTATTTAAAACATTAAGCAAAAAACAACACTGAAATAGTCGCAGTATGTCTGAATCTCCATTACATGTACACTACATTTAATATTGGCTACGTTTTTTCTTATGTGATGGCAGATGAATGTAATGATGGCTACCATGTTGTACTGAAGTGACCTGAGACTACTGGAGTATCGCAGGTGCCTTTGGCTGATTTTCACAATACTGGACTGTTTCTAAGTTAAATATCACCTGGTGGAATGTGAGCTGAATGAATGTGGATCATTTTTGTATGATGTAGATGACCGTTATGTATTTTAAAGAGAGAGTGTTGTGAAAGGTTTTCTGGAAACTAATTAAAATATTAATTATTTTATATTTTATGCAAGTCATGTTCAGTTTATAAATTTCGGTTTTAAAGTAATTATTTTTTATCACATTACAGTGGTATTGTAGCATTCTTTTTTCAAACCTTTTTTTCTTTTGTTTTATTAGATACGAAATAGCAAATACATGATTTACTGTGCAGATGACCTTAGCAAAAAAAAAAGTCATATATTTATGTTTGTTTAATCTAATAAGTTTATGTGATACGTTACTTAAAAAAAAAAAAATTCTAATTAAAAACTTGGCCATTTATAAAATAGTTATTGGCGTTAATATTAATGCCACTATTGTGCACAAACATGGATTTTACAGATCCCTAAATAATTGCTAGCAGAAGATAATCTCTCAGTAATGTTGGTGTGAATTGATTCTTTTGTTCCTCACAGACTGAAGATATCTAAATAAAGTTATTGCTCAGGATGTTTTTTTGCTTTGCTTTGCTTTTTCTCACACAATGCTTTTGAGATTTGTATTTTTGTAACTGATTAATGATTATGTATTTTTCACAAAACTGTACAATAACACCTGTTGGTTTGGTGACCTTATCGTGATGAACCTTGCTGTTTGATAAGCTTTAAAAAACATATTTTGTTGGGAAAATGCCATAAGTGTTATATACAGTTGAATAGTAAACGTTCTCATCATAAATGTAATGTTTATGTTTGAGTGTGTTACAAATTAACTTGTTTTATTTGTACCGTTTTCGATCACCCCACTAACAGATGTGATGAGTTACACCTGTCACTTCAAGTACAAAAAGAAAGCTTATAGGTTTATATTATGTGCGTACAGCAGTTTTACGAATCAGATGTTCTTTTTTTTTTTTTTGCTTGATTGTACAAATCTTTTCCGTGGGATGTAATGTGTATCAGTAGGTTGTCTAGGTTCAGCTTGTGAAATGTGCTGGTTATGAAACAGAGAGTTTATTGACAAAAGACATTGGTTTCTACCCAGATTATCCTCCAATTCCTCTGTAGTCATGAGGTTAGTATAGTCGAGTAAACTTGTAGGGCTGATTTTGTGTGTTACTCCATGAAGTGGAAAGTGGCACACTTCAGTGATCAGCTCCGAATCCACTGTGTTCCTCGCGATTTCCCAAACCCTGTAGCGGCACAGACAAAAGACAAATGTGCTTAGCAACACATGCAGACCATAAAATTTAGTTATTTGAATAATTTTTCGGTCTAATAGTTTTCAGTGTGTTTAATGTGAGCAATTCGGATTTTTAGTAAGTAAACCCTTAACACTTTTAGTAGTTTAATTTGTCTACTAACGTTGTATGCATTACAGGGAGAATTCTACCATTTCATAATTGTCAGTTCACAAACACGGGTGGTGATGCACGACGAAGAATACAGCAGTAATAATGATAATAATAATCGATAGGATATTTTCTCTATTCCACCACTACGGAGCGTCAGTGCTTCATTAAGCAAAATTATGTATTTTATAGCGGAACCGATATGCGTGTATGTAAGCCGATGTTTCTCATACAAGGAAGTTTTAAAATGTATTAAACTGCTACTGGTTAAGCTCCATCCCTACACAGGACAGAATCAACAACTCTAA